AGTTTAAATACAATTTGTAGTCAAAATAAGGGGAAACCGTCTACCACAAATGCATCCAAAATGATATGAAAATCTTCATCAATACATATATGACTTGATTAGTGGCTCCCTTCCCCTAGAAGTCTACGCCTCCATTCCATCAGAGCTCCTAAGTTGTCACTACCTGCTACTGAACAAGACAACTGCTGACATTTTTAACTGCTTCTGAGGTAGACAAAGATTGCACTGAATTTGTTTATACTTTTTTGTCCTTTTAAAATACACTCCGATATCAAAGTAGATCTTTCCTTGTCCCACTTAGGGCAGGACAGTGATTTTCATAATCTTTTTTTCTTTATGGATAACGTTTTGCTATAGAAGAGAATATCAGGATGCAAGGGGATGTTTACAGGATTTGCAGGAAGTTTCAACTTTAGGAGAAGATCAGTGATCTCCCTCAGCCATCACCAGATGGATCCTTCAGCTCACTACTTAAAACTCCTGAGGAAATCCTCTATACAACATTTTAAATATGAAAGATATGGAAATGCAGAAAAAAAATCCTATGTTAAAAATTTGAGCAAAAATTCAAAGTAAAAATATTTCAACATTTTTCATGACATTTCATTTGTTATTCATACCAGCTTAGTTTCAAATTTAAGGTAATTTCAAAACTTAAACTAGTAGGTTAAAACAGTAACATTTTGAGAACAGTTTTGAATGATTCCAAAAAAGAAATGTTTTAGAATATTTGCAAATATATTGAAACATTTGAAAATCCAGCCTGATGTCCTAAAGAACAGTTAAAAAAATACTTTTGCCCTGTCTATGTGAAAGGAAGATTTATTTTGGAATATACGAGGTCTCTTCTCAGTTTGATGAAGTGGCTTGTTTTGCCAATAAACAATTTTTCTACCAAGAACTAATCTGCTGTTAAGGTTGAGGAGGCTGTGAAATATTTCTGCTAATATGAGAAATGTATTTTTTGTTCGACATTTTTAATTTTATATACACATGTACATACTGTTTTAGAACATCCTGGATAAAAGGGATGCTTGGGCTTTAAATTTACATCTTTACTGCTACAAAAGCATGCCAGTGTTATAAAAGCCAACATCTTTCAAGTATATGCTGTTTTGGTATGATGAGAAAAGGGTGTCTCTCTCTCTCTCTTTTTTTTATCTTCCAAGCACTTCTCAGCTTTTATCATATTTAGGTATCTTGTGCTTAACCACCTGAAAAGCTTTCTGAGGAGAACTTAACTGGTCTAAAATGATGATGGAGTGATTTGAAAACCAGCAGATCAGATAGCGGGACAAGAATATGAATATATTTATTCTTTTTTTTTTCTTTTCTTTTTTTCAGGGGGGATAAATTCGTTTTCCCAGAGGCAGCGGCAGAGAAATGCAGCCAACGACCCAACAGGGTGCTCACACCTGGGGTTTTGTTGCATTTGCCCTCCTTGCAGATGCACGCGGGCACATTTACATGACCCGAGTTGCACAGTGAGTCAGCAACTGGGACCAGCCGTGCTGTGCCGGCGCAGCCTGCCGCGATGCCAGCTCATGTGCGGTGAAGCATTAATCCACCTATTTTGCCTTTTGGATTCTGAGTTAACCTCTCTAAACTGCATTGCACTGCAGTGCAGGGGCATATCAGACTCTTGGTGCTAACTCAGGAGTCTTCTCCTGTTTTTTTATTAAACAGCCCGGGTGGGACTTGCCTGTTTTTGCTCATTTGTGGCCATCCTGAGGACCCTCTGATTTTCAGAAAATCAGTGAGATGCAGAGTGCAACAATACTGAGGTATTGTCACCAAGAGCAAGCCAGAGCTGTATACTTTTGCTATTAGGATGTTACTCACTTTCCAAAAAGAGGCGTCTAATGCCATTTGAGACAGCACAGGGTGCCTGGAACATCTCATTAGCGGTAGCAAATACAACACAAGCTCTATAGGAGAGCCTCCTGGAGTAGCTGTAGCATCTAAACCTGCACTAGATGCTCACAGCTAGGCAATCAAAGCTTTGTCCAGTATCATAACTGATGCTGGCTGCTGACCGAGTGGTTGCACCTCTTAGCACAAGTTTCCTGAATCTCCAGGTGAGCTCAGTCCCAGCCATTTTCCTCAGCTGGCAACTATGCTCAGACTTGCAAACTCCCAGCAGCTAAACCTGTGGGCTGGTGGCTCAAACACTCACAGAGGCACACAGAAAAAGGTGTTTGAGAACCTCCAAACTGACCTAAGAAGCAAACCATCCAAATCCACTGAGAGCTGCGAGGAAATGTCTAGTTTGGTTGACCAACCACCCCTAGATCTCTACCCAAATTGTACACACCACAGGTATTTTGATCTAAACTCCTATCAAACAATGACATTTTCCTAAGCTGTTAAGTGTGCAAACACATAATTACCAGATGAGCTTGAAATAGTTGTATTCAAACTGATCACTAATATTTATAGATGTGAACAGGATTTCAATAATCTCAGAGATGAACTACAGCTGCTTTTTGCAGCAACTAGAAAGTGTTATCATGCCAAGAAAAAAAGATGATGTTCAGTCTTTTTCAAATTCTGCAAAATATATTCTAAAATATAAAATATGAAAAAAATTTCTCACATTAAATGTACAGTGCAAATTTTTCATATTGTTGGCAGACTGGCTGATCTGCAAAGACTTGGTGGGTTGTTACTGTACAGTCTCACAGCTATGTACAGCAATCTTTCAGTTACTGTTAAGCAATAGTGACATTCAGTTCCACTAAAATGGTTAGAAACAGCAAGTGTGAAGAGACTATGTGAAATAAAGTTGTTTTCTCCCCTGATTTATGACCCATGAATCTAATTCTAAATTCCACAGGACTGCGTAAATGAGGCACAGCTTTAATCCATCAAATTAAAATCTATATTACCACAGTCTGAGAAGCCAACTCTAAAGATATCTTTTGTGTTCTGTAGAACTAGTCACTAAATATAAATTAATACACTGCAAAGTCTGATCTTGATAATGATGCCTACTTCTCAATGACATGCTAAGGCAGGGAAATAGAATACCCATGGTTTATGCAGCTTTTATGAACAGTAAATCTTATTTTCTCTATATAAATATATACAAATGTATTTTTATTGTTTATAATTTTTATTAACTGTGAATGTTATGTTCTCTTTCTATATATATTTGTTTCTATATCCTTCCCTTCCAATGAATATTCTATAAATTTCTTTCTCCTCTCAGAAAAAATAATTCCAAATAAGGAATTAATCTATATTTGCTTTTTTTCTTTCCATTCTATAGCTACAACTTTATTTTTAATGATTCATTAGCTCTTTCTCCTGCACTTGAATGATGCTTACCTGTATCTATCTACATTGTGTTCAACTTAACTTCAACCATTTCAGAGCTCTGAGATTAGAGCAAACACTATGCATAAATAAGTCTCAGCTTACTGTGTCTATTAAAAAATAAACGTTTGATTTCCAAAGTTAGTCATATAAGCTTCCTTCCTCAAGAATACAGAAAGAAAGGTACCTTATGGGCCAATTCATCCCATGCTGGTGCATGTCTGAGGTAGCTGCGATACAGTGGTGGCGTGCGTGCCTCTCCAGTGACCACAGAAGGAGCCTAGGAGACCACTTTAGGGTGGATGAGCTCTGTCCTGGTCACAGTGTTTGCTCTGCTCTTAGATAAAGAAATGCCCCACTTCTCATTTCTTTTTTGCAACATAAATCATTCAACTTCTCAAGTAAATCTCCTTCCAAAGTGCAATGCAGAGAGGGTAAGCTCACATAATGATATCACCTTTTTAAGAAAAAGGTCTTTTTTTTCTCTGGGTTGGGTATGAGCATGGACTGTGCCTACACACTACTGCAGTTGCTGGGCCAGGAAGACCAAGTTTCCTATGGCTTGGTCATGCAGACAGTAGTATCCCAAAGGATGGATCAAACATGAGCATTATTGTTGGTAACACTGTGCAAAAGATATAAAGAAATGGTGAGAGAGTCAAGTATCTTGCAGTTCCTTTCTTCCACCTGCCAAACTCCATGTGCTACAAGAAAATATCTGTATGTGTATCTGACTTCACTATCCAGAGGATAATTTGGGCCTGCAGTGCCCGGAGGTCTGTACCCTGCAAGCTGAGCCAGTCACTTTGATATAGCCAAAGTTGGTGTTCACCTAAGGGGAACAAATTCTCTGTTAAGCTTTTAAGAAGGATGAAAAAAAAAAAAAAAAAAAAAAAAGCCCTATTTGGATAATGATTTTTTAAAGGTACCAGGGCCAGTGTACACTGTCAATTAAATGTTCATCTTTTCCAGAGTTAATAGAAAACTTTTTGCTTTGTTAAAATTTTGTGAAGAGACTACCTGCTAGCCTTTTGACCAGAGTATTGGAAAATGAAATATATGTGCATGGGTATTTTCTAAAATGACACATAAGATTACAAGTTACCCTCCAACTAGAAGATTTCAGACATCTCCTTAATACCACTAGTGGTAAATTTTAGTTCTCACTTTTTGTATATGTATCTGACATTACAGACAGAACTCGAAAATGCACACAGTTACAGAATGTGGTTGCTCACAATGGCTAAAGTCAATATGCATTCCCTCATAGTCCTGCAGCATTAAGAATTACAGCAAAATCCCACCCTGGTCTCCCCACTGGCTAAGAGTTGCCAACCCAGGAGAAACACTTCCGTGAAGGTAAGAGGCCCAGCGGGACTCCATTTCTTAGGGACCGGCTAGGCTACACCACCTGAAACAAGTGTCACGAAACCCGGAACACAATAAAAGCAGGGAATTTTGTTAGTCTTTGCAATGGCTATGTCAGATGCTTCAGCTTTATCAATGCTAAAATTAATTAACCAACTAATAAAAATGTCTACGTCTGCTCGCTGGTTGGAATCAGCACAAATTATTTATGAGGATAACAAAGGTTTTCAGGGACCAGGAGGTGGGCTGAAGTAGCTCTCTTTCTAGAAACTCTGTTAATTGTGTGTAGAGAAAAAGAAAAAGGTGGTTCTGACCTGTCATGCCTCAGTGCCCTCATATCAACATACACTGTGGTGGGATCTGGTCCAGATGTTCCCTGTGAACAACAACATCAGCTAATCAGAACCTGAAGGCTGGAAGGAGAAAAGAGTTTTATCCCCCAAATAACTGAACGTTCATTTCACTGCTAATTATGCTAATCAAATGACAAGTTATATTTAAGCTATTCATCAAACAAAGCTCAGCTTTACAGAATCAGAAAGAGCACTGGAAAACATACCTACCGTCGGTACTTGTTACCTTGGGGTTTGGAAAAACGTCAAGCGGCCATACTACTTAACCAAACGTGTCAACAGAGGTTTTATTTGCTACAAAAGGCCAAGTATTCAGCACATGGATACATACAAAAAATGTTAAACACGTTTTGCCATATAAAGGAACGCGGAAATTGCTGAGGAGACACAGTTTAATGGCAGAAGCACATGGTCAGGAATGTGAAGCATGGTTTACTAAGAGTCTTCCATACATGCAACAGAGAATATACTTGAAGCTAAAGATAGTAAAGGTAGCACGCATGACATGAACCAATGTGGACTGAAGGTCTGTAAGCAATTATTCTGTTTCTTTTCAGTCTTCCACTATATAATTTAAATCCTTGCTTTATGTCACAATATTTAGTTACTTGAAAAGCAGTAGACTAATTTTAGTTTCCCTTCATACAGAGATGATACAGTCTTTTAGGCCCTTCCACCCACAGCTTTGCTGCAGTTTTGTAACCTGCTACGATCTTCCCTTATCCCAAATTCAAACTCATCACCACTGAAGATCACGTGAATTGTCAATGCTATAGTCTAGGGCTCTTTTCTCTGCTGCATACCTCACATCACTGCTAAGCAGAAAGCTAAAAGAAAAGCACAACTTCAATTTGGAACACTAGAACTTTGGAAATTTTTTTCTCCCAGCAGATAAATTCACCTAGCCCTGGCAATGTACAGGTGCAGGAACTCCTTTATCAGTTATTTAGATGTTTACTACTTAAAACAGCAGACAGCATAAACTCCCAATGATTTCTGCCCCATTTGGGATATATTATAGAGTATAATTCTTCACACTAGGAATGTCCAGGGCTAAATTTTGCTTTGCTGCAATGCTGGCTGGTAGTTCCTCAATTTGTTGAGCACTAAAAATTGCAACGGAGTTCCACAAACAGATATTTTTTGTATCTAAAGGGGGAAAGAGTTACCACTACCAATTGATACTTACTGTACAGATACTGATAGTGACCCACCACCAGAGGAGAAAAAGAGTAATAGAGCTGCACATGCATGTTAGCCTCTTTAGCTTGTTATACACAATACAAGATACAATATCCTCTCTAGCTATTAACGACACGATTCTCAGTCTACTAGTAAACTCAGCAGTGTAACAGACTAGTGCTGAGTGGAGAACTTATTTGAAATATATGCAATGTTAAAAAAAAAAAAAAAACCAAAACCAAGGAAAAATTGGTCATCTTTAAAAATAAAACTAAACCTGAATTGATTTATAAAACAATGGAAACAGTCAAGTTTGAAAACCAAAGACAATCACTATGGCATTTTTTATTTTCAGTGTGAATGAAATAGTTACAACAGACAGCTAATATTTGATGAAACCTGCATCCAGATAAAGCTATACTGGACTTGTTTATAATTTCATAAAAGGATCTGAAAATCCCCAAATCTCCAGACTCAATTTCTAGTCTGTCCCACTGTTGGAAGCTGATAGGTGGGTATTGAGGGAACATGAAAATCCCCTACCTGCTCGGCCAGCTTCCCCAGCCTGTGAGGCGCAGGGATGAGGGAGAGAAGGAAAGAAGGTAACACAAGACGAAAATAATAATAAAAAAATGGGAATGAAGGGTGGGAGAAAAAAAAAGAGGAGAATGCAAAAAGCAGGGAGTAAAATAAAAAGAAAAACAATGTCAAATACAGGAATCTTACAAATTAACCATTATACCATTAAAGGTTAAAAAAAGTAAAAAATGAGGTGTCAACATTTTAGTAGAGCAACAGAAGAGACAGCTATAGACTGCTAACCTTGGACAAACAGACTTAAATGGTTTTAGGACACTACAGACAACGTTGTTAGTGGAAAATATGTATCTAGCACACTGATTTTTTTTGTTGTTTTTGGTGAAGAAGTCAGTAAACATTATGGCCCTGCTATTTTAATGCACATCCATTGAGACAGGGGCTCCAGGTCTGCCATTTCACTACTGAAAGAAGTTTGTAAGCGATGTCCTCTGGAAATCAAAAGTAAGCTTTCTTTTTGGAAAAAAAATTAGTAGACAACGGAGAAAGATACTTACACCTTGTTTCATACAGATTAACCTGCTCCTAAAGTGAAATAAAATCAAGGCTTCGTGCACAACCTAATTACTAGAAGACCATAACTAAATGGAGTAACTTCATAGTTCAACAATTCATTCTTAGTCTTTTTGCTATGATAAACAGTGCAATACATATAAGGAACAGTAAAATTAAAAGCTGATAAAACCCCATCAGTTCTCCACCTCAATCGATAACACAGCAAAGAGACAAAACGCAGCGGTAACTAGTCTTGAGCCGCTACTGTCACATGGAGCATCTAACACCAGATGGCTGCGGTGGGACTCGCCCTACAACTTTTGAAAATAAACAGCTCCGGGAGCACTGGCATTCCACATCCCTCTCACCAAACTTCTGAATTCCAGCAAAGTTAAAGACTACAGGAAACTGCCACAGGAGAATCTTAAAATAGGTTTATTTTGGATGCAGGGGAAGATGAAGCATTTAAAAAAATAGGATGGCTCTGCTTATTACATTGCTTCCCCAAAATAGAAATATTACTAATAATCCAGGTTGAACACTGCAGTGTCACTGCAAGAAAGCAGAATTGCTGAAATCTACCAGTTATATAATTCATAGTTCGTGACTCTCCTGCAGGTCCCGAGAGGACTTTGAGAGTACCAGAGCCTCGTACGGCTTTTAACTAAGGAAGGGCTTGAGAAACAGCAGCTGAAGTCTCAGCATCGTCCTTCTGCGGGCAGCTGCAGCCGAGGTACTCTGAAAGTGTTTCAAAAGAAGCAGGGCCTTAGCCGAGAGCAGGGCGACTGACTCGATTTGTCTGCGCACGTTTATTTTGCGAGACAGAGATAGCGAGCATCTGTAATGCTGGTAAGAGGAAAAAACCAACATGACTTCTGTGGTATCTGACACTTACTAAGGACATACTAGGTAGCGTTCAAGGAAATAAAATGGGCCAAACATAATTTTCTGTCTGAAGACGGGTACATCATAAGTCACGTCCCTTGTACTAAATAAATCTCCTGCCCACGCATAGGCTGCCACCAGTGAACCATCCCTGGTCCATGCAAAACCTCTGCAACGTGCCAGGCTTTTATTCTCTGGGAAAACATTGCAAGTCAAAACTGCATGAATGACTACCCCAGCAAGTCTGCAGTAAGGATGACCATGTGCCAGCACTCACCCTGTACCTAATTTCCAGTGAAGTCAAAGGCCAAGCTGCACGCTCTCCCCTGCTTCCCTCCCCAGAGTTAAAAACCAGGAACTAGGCAATCAGAAGTCCTAAGAACGTAAAAATAATTGTTGGTTTGGGTTTTGTTTTGCTGTGCTGTCTAAGGAGGTGGCCTCAATGTTTACTCTGAGTCTACTTCTGCTCCAGTGATGCTCAGATATGGAATTTCTGATGTACACTTAACAATCTCACGTACGCAAGCACAGCAGCTGGAGCTGTGAAAAGGACTTCATGGCATGACTCATAGTGAAGGTGGGAAAACACGGAATCTGAGGGAACTCACCCAGAGCCGTACTACATTGCTAACTGCGAATCATACATGCATGGTCTCCGGCTGCACTCTTTGCAGAGCTATCCTTTATTACTTTTGATATGGAAGATCCTCAAAAAGTGTGATCTATCACTAAGTAGAAAGAAACACTAGCTTTAAGCCCTAAATTTACTAACAAAGTTCCCTTCGCTAGACAGTGAAGGAAGGATTAATTTCATATAACCTCAGCCCTCAAAGAAGAAAGTGTGCGGTATAAGGTAGGAAGTATCTCCTGATGGTGATGAATCCCTTCCCAAGATAGGCACCTGAGATAGACTGAATGAAGCTCTCTCTGAAAGTATTTCTTTAGTTTTACTGACTATAGATGGATACTGGATAACTCACTTAACCTTGTTGTCTAACTTAAAGGTGATGTAAAAGAAGCAAGGTGAATCCTGCTCTCCTGCCCTAGCTTGGGAAGATTGTGTTAGTACATTTTCAGGGCTAACTAAGGAAAATGAACAACTTCTAGAAGTTTTTCCTCAACTGAAATTGAGTAGCAGGTTGAATAAAACAAAAATATTTATTTCAAGTGTTTAAATGGAAATTAGCTAAAATCCTAGAGAACCATCTGTGCTGTTGTAAGAAACCGGCTACTTTTCATATCTATTTTTCTCTCTCTTGAGAATGTTAAGATGCTAGTTAATGAGAATTAAAATATGCTGGATGCAATCTTTTCATCTCAGAAATCCCTGGACCATTATCTGTGCCTATATGGCCATAAAAGGTCAGATATTAATGGTATTTAAGTGCCTAAAGATGGAGAGAATTATTTATTTTCAGAAGCATACCTCTAAAAATCTAGTCTGAAATGATTACACCAAAAGAAACATAGTAAATTTGCTCTAAATTTGAGACGAAATGAATACAAATGACAATGCATTAGTCTGTCAGTGATCCTAATCCTGAAATTAAGATTCATTTGGCAGACTAAGGCTCTTTTGTACCAAAGGGATTATCACAATGATTTCCTTTTTAGAGTAATCTTTAATAAGTTTATGAAGTTTTTATACACACACACATAGACACTCACATACATGTACATACACACACCCCCCTCTTCTTTTTGGAGGGGGCAACAATAGTAAAAGCTTTTTGGAAAAATCAGGATACCTTCCCCTTGAAACACTTCAGTATTAAATTTTTCCAAAAAACTGGAAATGAAGTGAAGAAGGTACTGAAGATCACATCCAAGCTGCATTAGAGGCAGCCCATTGAGAAGAAAGCCTGGATAGGCTTTTTGCTGGTAAGGGTCAACAGCTGAATATTGAGATTGTTTAGAAAGGTGATTAGTAGATACATATTTTAGAAAGACCATAGAATAGGCTGGATCACTGTTATCCCTATGAAAGATGTTGTTCCAGGAACCACGTGCTGATCTCATGGATGACACAACTTGGAAGAAAAAAAGCAAAGGCAGATGCTATTGACTCAAACATCTTTAGAAGTATTTACATGCAGCGTGAAGAATCCAGAAATCATAACCCATTTCTGGAACATATTGGAGACAATGTTAATTTCAGGAACATAATTGACCAAGGATTAAAATTCATTCTGTTCCTCAGCCCAGAAAACAGAATAGCCCACAAGCTATTCTGCAATATCACTAGCCATAAACTTCCAGACAGTTTGGAAAGAGCCTTCAGTCTAATTCAGTATCCAGTCTTTGGCAATGTCTACTACCAGATGCTTCAAAGGATGCAATCCTGTATCTTTATATTCTCTATCAAAATGGCATGTTTTGTGGTGATGCTTGTAAGTAACATCTTTAGTAATTTTTCAAACCCCTTTAAAACTTGCCAAGCTACCCTTGGTTTAAATGCTTCAAAAACCATTCCACTTGGAATGGTAACATTACTAAATATAGCCTGTTCTCAAATGGCTTTTCTTCATTCCACACTAGACTTTTTGTGGCTTTTAGCTTGTCCTATGGACTGAGATGCAACATCTTAGTAGAACTCAATGAAGCCTGACACTAAGCTATATGATCAGCCAGGCTCTTAAATCACCTCACTCAAGGCTCTCATTCTGTGCTGTTCTTAAATTCATAGTTAGTATCATTAATAATATTCCTTTAGAGAGTTATCGACTTTTACAGTTTGATTCAATAACTCTTTCAAGAATTTCTGTAAAGGACCATCTAAGAAGCAAACTTCAGCTAAGAAGTTAACACAATCAAAAGGCAGATATACATAGTTAGGCAAAAATCCAGACTAACTCCATGCTGATTAGGACTTGCAGTTTCTCTAGCTTTCCTGCATGTTTGTAGTGGGATGACCCAGACAGCAGCTAAGCACCCACTCAGCCCCTTGCTCGCTCCCCTCCCGGTGGGACAAGGGAGAGAATACAAAAAGCAAATGCAAGAAACACAGTGGGTTGAGATGAAGACAGTTTAATAAGTGAAGAAAAGAGAAAAAAAAACCCAAGTGATGCAAAAGCAATCACTCACCGCTTCCCACAAGCAGAACGATGCCCAGCCAGTCTCTGAGCAATGGCTACTTTGGAAGACCCAACCCCCCCTTTTTTAATGCTTCGTGTGACAGTTTATGCTATGGGATATCCCAGGTCATTTGGGGTCAGCTGTCCCGCCTGTGTCCTTTCCCAGCCTCTTGCTCTCCCCCAGCCTACTCGCTGGGGGCAGTGGGGTGGTGGGGTGGTGGGCAGAGTGAGAAACGGGGAAAGCCTTGATGCTGTGCAGCACTGTTCAGCAATAGCTAAACCACACTTTGCTATCAACACTGTTTCAGTCACAAATCCAAAACACAGCTCCATATGGGCTGCTATGAAAAAAGTTAACTCCATCCCAGGCAGACCCAGTACAATATTACTTCCACAAGGCATACCTGGGCATCGAACCTGGCTTACTGCTGCTTAGTGTCATTCCCTGGTTTTATAAATGACATATAAGTGAAACAGCCGCCACGAACAGTTCAGAGATTACTGCAAGCCTGAAATGGAGATTTTCATTAGCAGCAAGCAAACTTCCGCAGCTATTCTATCCTTGTTTTCTACAGCATCCTTCATGTCTGGTCCCTCCATGGACCAGAAGCCAGAGCAGTTCAGTTGTTTTTCAGAAGTAGCTCCACTAGAGCTGCAGGGAGGAGCTGATGGGCCCCATCCTGATCTGTCAGGAAAGTCAGAGCAGTCGGCCATGAAGGTGTGCCATCACTTCCCTCCTTCCCCTCATCTGTAAAAGAATCCCATGGGCACTTCAAAATGGCTAAAGATACAGCATCAAATTAGAAAACTATTGCTACCACATAACTAGCTCATCTCTTTCGCCTCTGTTGTCCCTTTCTACTTGCTGCCTGCTGTGCCCCTCGCAGCCAAGTGTTTAAGCTTGGTTGGGTTGCTCACTAGGAAAGCATACCAACCTGCACCTGCTAACTGGCCTAACGGGTGCCGTCCACATTGTGCTGCCTCAGCTGGGAGTGCCTAAAGATTTCCTAGATGGTTTCTGAGCTGTCCTCTCTGCCTTGTCATCACCCAGGACTCTAGATATGGAGAAAGAAATGAAGAGGCCTTTCTTCTTGCAAAGAAACATTCAGTAGAAGAGGTTTCAAAACCTCAGTACTTTTTGTATCAAATCCATGACAGAAATATGGGGGAAGGTGCTGCTTGAGTTCATAGACGTTTCTAACCTACAAGATATATTTTTCTCTCAAGGCTATTTATTAAGTTTTATTAGGGTAAAACCGTTTTGAAGGATTCAAGCGCTGCTTTTGAGACTACAGGAGATTTTCTTAAACTTTTATTCCAGAAGAATATTTATGGCAGCAATTACAGAAAGTCAAACTAAAGAACTCTACCTCTGGGGCACAGAATTACTTTTAACCCTGCTCAGCTTTGCCTTGTCATATGTTTGATGATGATGATGATGATGATGATGATGATGATGATAATAATAATAATAATGATGTCACCCTGGGCTGAAGGGATACTCTGCTGGTAATCAGAGAGAAAGCAAGCAGTACTGGTGCTGTGGCATATCTCCTGTACTCATATTCTGGTGACATGCTGAACTACAAGGTCACTTTTAGCCAAGGTCTGATGAAAGCCAGGATTCTTTAGTGATGTTGAAAAGGGCAAGAGACTAATGCAGGCATAACACACAGACATATTGGTCTGTGCCAAACCCATCACCTGTATTGGTCACATTTTTTGGATAAAATAAAAAAATCCTTACATTCACAATCAGGAAAAGAATAGCAAATCCCTTATTTATAGGGTCACTGAGAAGATCTGTTACGACTTCCACACCTGAGCAATTATGCATGTTACCTGTATGAGAAATCCTCTAATGTAAACTAGGGGTAACTGCCAGATTTGAAATGTGGGATGCACCATATAGAGTACAGGCAAGTTATAGCAGGGAGACAGTGACTTTGAAGATGTTAGAGACATAGTAGGTGACCAAATGGATATGGAACTTCCCAGCCAATGCAGCTGCCGATGCAGAAGATGATTCTTGTATTATTTAAAATTATTATTAAGTCAGAAATCATATTACATCTGAGTAGGACACCTGTGGCATTATTACAGGAATATGTGAAGTTCTGATACCAGATTTGGAAGGACAGAAAGAGATCAGGAATCATAAAAATGAGACACAGATCAGGAAAGCACGTCTTAAGATTCTTTATCGATTTATCAAAGACTAAGATGTGTATTAGAGTCATGATAGAAATGTGATTCTTTAGTCTAGATTAGAAAAATGTAATAAAATAAAAAATGGCTGAATCTAATGCCAGATAAATTTAAGCTAGAAATAAGGCAAAATTAATTGAAAATTGAACACCTTATAAAAAGGCAAGTTGACTTTCATCACTCGAAGTCCTGAAAGATAAAATAACACACTGTAGATCAGCCTAAAACTACTTGCTTGGTGTAGTTATCGCTGGGTGAAAACCTAGAGGCTATTCAGAAATTCAGACCAGATAGCTACAGTGCTCCGTCTGTCCTTGAAATCATGACTCAATAAAGATTCCTGGAGAATGCAAGTTAAATCCTATATTATCCCTGGGTACTTTCTTCTGATTAGTGGATCAAAACAGAATGAAAGAGATGTAGCAAAATAATTTTCCACTGTAAGCAGTAAAATGTGTGCAGAAAATACCTATCTAGTTAATTAAGCAATGGTTGGAATTATTTTATAAACAGAAGGAATCAATTTTGTAACATACTAAAGAAAGCACTAGGAAACTGGATTTTACATTACATGAATAAATATTATTTTTGGAGTACATTCTGTCACTACCATGCACTTTTCTGAATTACTGTATTCATGGGCAGAATAAATGCTATGATTGCAACATGAGAGGGGTGAATAGTTGACAAAGTAACAGAAATTTACTACCTTTATATGCAGGAACATTAAGTACCACATGCATTTTTTTAATATGTCTATAACCAAGCAGCCAAAGGAAATACAAGGAATGCTTCTTACTGAAAACCATTTTCTTAAAACAAATTTGAGCTTAAGGAGTGAAAAATCTTACCTGTAAACATATTGCCAGGTTAACTCTACAGCCAAGCGATGTGCTGACAGCCCGTGGATGGAGACCAAGGTCTTTAAATAATTTTGAAAATGACTGAGTAAGAGCTATCCGAGGTCGTTCTTCAGCCACTACTACACATGTCCGTACACGTGAAAGGTCCAGTCCCCTTGCCTAAAAAGAAATTAAAATGTAACAAAGGCCACAAATGGGCAGATTTAATGAAAAACAGGTAGTAGTACTTAAGTGTGTTATGTAGGTACTATGATTCTGGAGGAATAGCAGAATAAAAGCTAAGGTGCCAGTATAATTTCCATCTTTCCTGGAGGCCGGATGGCCAGAAGACAGTCTAATAGCTGTAGAAGAGCAGGCATACTTGCTTGTCATCTCAACATCAGCATATAGGAAGAGATGGGTATGCTAGTTCTGAAGGGAGGGAATGCTATTTCCCAATATTAATTCAGAAAGCCAGTGAATAATAGCAAACAGGAAGCAGTGTCTAGCCTTGGAAAAACTGATTAGGAAATTATTAAGCAAGGATGGTAAGGGCTGGAGACATCATAAATATCAGCATCTCAAGATCTAATTTATTTCAGTAGCATACTGGAAATATTAGATGTTTTCAGAAATGTAACTGGCTACCTGACTTTTAAATCTGGGGGAAAAAAAGAAGATACACACCTCCCCTCCTCTCCATACAATGAGGTTGATCCAGTTAAAACAATACGGTACTCTTATGTACATGATTATTTATCTACAGGGGTCAAAACCAAACTAGTACTTCATATAATCAGGGCATGCATAAAACATAATATACAATATAACGCTCCTTGGGCCTCTTGGACATTTACACCTCCGTTTTCCAACACTTGCCTATCAACACAGGCTGCAATACAGATCAGAAAGCTTAGGTAAATAAAAGCCTTTCCTTGATGTTTAAAAGCCTTGTGGTCTGAGAGAATGACTGAGATTTATATATAGCGTTTGGCAAGGAGTAACATGGGTTCTGTGGAAGCTGCCCTTGCCTTCTGATGGTTTTCTCCTCGCTGCAGACATTTAGCACAGCGTTCAGCGCAGGGAAGGCTCTCAAACACCACCGTGCAGACGGCAGGTTGTGCAGGACCACAGAGTTACTCACCTTCAGCGACTCTGTTTGCGACCCGAGTCCCTTAGTACAAAGCTCCATGACCGAATAGGAACAAAAAGTGTCTCTCACTTTGTACTGACTCACGGCAAGAAGCCACAGAGCGGGATTGGTCTCCAGTTCTGAGGGAGGAATCAAAATAGACTGGTGTCCTGAATAAACGCTGTAAAGACACAAGATTTATTAAGGCATGCTAAATGCCTGTGTCCACAGATGTTTACAAGCTATGGGGCACTAGAATATAAAGTTTATCACAGCACTGAATGAAACATGTAATGTCTTACAGTGCTCTACAGGTCCCGTAGTTTAACATGAAGTTTAACTCTGTTTTTTGCTATACCTTCAGAGGAATGCAGGCAGAACATGCTCCTAAAATACTAATTTACTCAAAATGCCCGTGGACTTTGCTGTTAGAACTGTACCAAAGAGAGCAAAATAGCTCGGTTATTAATGGTGCTAATAAACAGTATTATAATATCAACAAAAATTATGTGTTGCTGATAAATAATTAAGATTGAGTAATTACCATTTTAAGATACCTTGATTAAAAGAGTACTTGATTGCTTACTATGGAAACAACCTCTCTCCTGCTGGGGGAAGCAAGAGGTTCACAATCATCTTCAAGGGAGTAAATCTGCCCCCAATTTAACAATCCTTGTGCCTTTAGTTTTCTTCTGTGAAAGTTTTATGAACTTTTAGAACCCAAATATACTACATCTCTTGATTATTGGATACCCAGTGAGCATACATATTGAGAAAAGACACTTATCAGGGTCCCTGAAGGACAGAATTATGTCAGAGCTAATTTCTCTGGTACCAAAGATTCTCCCTGAGGGAAAAAAAAAATCCCAATTTGATGTCTTTATTTCCCGTGGGTCCTATGTTGTTCACTCATCTCAGACAGGCAGATTTACCATCAATTTTACAGTCCCCCTCACATCTTAATTCATGATTTGTAGATATTTCAAATCAGAACGGTCATAGCATAAAACCCCCAAATCACAGAAGTTCTGAGAAAGGACCATAAAGCCCCAGAGATTTATGATGCACATGAGAGAAATTCATTTGTGACTTGAAAACTTGAAATGCCAGCTTGGTAAAGTAAAGCTGACGTTTTCAAATCCAAGTGCCTGAGGCAAGACACGAAATGGAACTTTATTGTCAGGAATATGAGCATCTCTGTAACATTTAACATTAAGAAGATGACACAATTCGTTGCAGTTTTTGAAGATGGGCTGCTCACACAGCTTCCCTCCTTGGTGAGTGAGTGTCCCCACTCCTCCCAAACCCAGATGAGAGTGCTTTCAAAAGGTGTGCAACTTAGAACAAGGTTTGTGTGACCTGGATGTCTTTACTTGGTATGATAAAGGCATAAAAGGTGTACAAGTCCAGCCACAATGGCAGTTAATAATCCAAATAGTTTAGGTCTCTGCTCAAGTATGAGCCAGAGGATGTCATGGAATGAATATGTATGAACTACAGTTCAAATAATTTCATTTATCACACAGTAAAAATTTTACCTTTGAATGCTTGTCCACATTTATGCCACTCTTGATGATTCATGACCAGCGACTTGCCACAGAGCGATGTGTTCTCAGATACAGTTGACATAACGACCGCAGGACGGTCAAATGAAGCATTATGCTTTTATGTTGCTTTATGGAATCAGAATAAAGCATGACTGAACCTTCAGCATGTGCTTCATAAACATGTGAAAAGAGATGTTGGCAAAGTCACCCAAGCCTGAAAGGAGTATGCCCTGAGCTCAAGCAACAGATCAAACCCAGCTAGGGAGTAGTAACAGTTTTGACTATAAATATTACACTTCACTCTTTCTTTCTCAGCCAATTCTATTTTTTCAGAGAAGACCAAAAGGTCTTAGTTCTTCGCAAATTTAAGGTTAGGGCCTCACAAACAATCAAGGTGTGTGATCTGTCTGGTAAACAAATAATTCTTACCAACAGGAAGCTGTAACCACTCAAATAATAACCTGGGATGGGCTCCAATCTGTACAAACACGGTATACAGAGATTCAGCATCAAACCCTTCCCCCTGTCTCTGAACTCCTCTAGTTGATGCAACCACTATTAGGAGAAAAAACAATCTGCACAATAATAAACAAGCTGCCAGGGGGTCAAATGTAGGAGAATTATTACTCAGAACTACATTAAGAGCCCTTAAATGCCACTTATTCAACTGGGCAGAACATTCCAAGATAAAAACAAAATCAAAAGAACAAACTTTATCCCTGCACTGAAAAGTGCCCACACAAACTCCACAGTAATAAGGGACGAAAAAGCCGCATTGCTTTCATGAGAAAAACAGAATATTGATTCCAAGTGCACTGTACCAGGAAAAAGTCCAAAACGGTGGAATTTGGGAATACAAATTTACGCCAAAGACAAATCTTTCCCCCCTCAGCAACTCTAATGAGTGGGGGTGAACTGTCTCCCTCTCTTGATCGACTTATGCTGGACAAGTAAGAAAGATAGTTGTGTTTGCTCTTAACTTCCCACCAACAGCCATGCAGCAAAGCATGAGGATTTGGATGGAAAATAACCCCAGCTTCTCCAGTTTGAGGGAAACAAACACTCTTATGATCAGGCTTTGACTGAAAAAATCACTCTGATTAGGCAGAAATAAATTAAGATGTTGCTAGGACCTTTTCTGAGTTTTCTAATCCCTCAGAAATGCTGAGGAGTTCAGAATTAAACTGCAGAGCAGCAGGAAATATCTAGCAGGAAGGAAACTTTCTGTGGTGCAGAACCTCAGACATGTGCTGCTCCTGTACATAAACCTACAGAAAGATGATAGCGTGCCTGGAAACTTGATGACCAACACAGGCTTTGCCTACTGAGCTGTGGTTTAATAACCCATGTGTATCATCTGATTTGCTAGAGCAGTTGGTGGAGCTAGGAGAAGAACTACAAAGACATATTTCTGGGGCGAATGTGCCAGTTCCCCAGCTGAAGTGGTTTATGCAGCACCTGGCCACCGCAATGTCAGTCATAACTTGGCTCACCCCCCTGAATCAATCTCACAAACATTATGTAGGTTTTGTGAATCACTCCAAGCAACAAAATGTTCCTGGTAGCCACATATCTTTGCAAATTTGCAGACTTTGTATCTCCACGTTAACCCCTGAGAAGCTGTATGTCATCAGTGTTTTGGTGGAGGGAAGCTGAGAAAAAAAAGATACTCCTTTGTATAGCTGGTTGAAACACTTCTACGACTCCGGTGGTTTCAAATCACGGTGGTATGTTAGAGGGCGTTTGCTTAGTATGGATGCCAACAACTAAGCAGAGGACCATGCACTTGAAGAGTCTGCAGTTGTGGAAGGCTGCTTTAGAGATGCTGGATAAAGCTAGATATGGTCCCAAACCTGTAGGAAGTTCTGTCAGGGCTGCCTCTGTGTAATTCTAGGTACGGTAGAGATGTATGGCAGGTACATCTAGGTATGGTACATGCTAGATATGGTAGAGCTGATCCTGAAACTGTGGCACTGAACAAATAGACAGTTCCATCTCACCTTCTTGAAACATGACAGTAGTCAAGAGATGGTTACACTGTCGACTTTGCTATTCTCATACTGGAAGCAACAGAATCATGGTGAATGCTGTGGGATGAGGGGGATCAGACGGGTTATTAGGAAAAGTTGGGGAGTTAAATATAAATTGTGGAAGCTAAAATTACCATTCTGAAATTGCAACAATATACGCTATATTGGAGTAGGCGCAAGAATTTAGTTATATAAATACTGGGAAGAAACTGAAGCAAGAATGTTTCTTCCACTGCTGTAGAAATCTGTTGTCACAAACGTAACCATCTCCTGATGTGAGTCTTATAACAGGAGTAGACACAGTGCAGAACTGCAGAGACTATCTGACAGACCTGGACATCTTTTTATCAGTCTCCACCATTTTTAGAAAATGCAAAGGGTGTAGGCAAAAAAAGAAGGCAAAAAGGGAGAGTGACTATAGAGCACCCCCGCATCATCTTGTCACGACGACTTTGAGGATGCAGATGCAGAGTGAAACGCAGTGGTAGCTGAGGTGGGAGATCACCTTTTGAAAATGGTGTCTTCCTTTAGGGAAGCAATCTGGGGGAAAAAAAGTATTCACGTGGTGGACAGAGCCTTGGATTTTGGCAGTAGGTGAAAAGCCTTGTCTGCCTGCACTGAGCAAGGGCTGCCCAAGGACAGGAATACTCCAGTTAAACGCACCAGGATGTATTTTGGTATGACGGCGCCATCTGATCACAACACCGGTTCCACTACCTGGCAGGCTGTTTTGGCAGCATACGGAGATGCCTGGAAGGACATCTTGGCAATTAACTGTTCCACTGAATCAAAGATTTACCCCACGTTGTGCTGAGGCAAATTAATAGTAAAGTCTGAGGTTTTATTATAGTTCCAGAAATTTCAGCAGGGCAATAAATGCTTACAAATGGCAACTGCAATTTGGAATTGCATTCTGGCAGGCTACTGACCCGCTGCTGCCCTTACTTTTGGCGTCCTTCTCGGGTGATATACGCTGCTTTCCCACTTAACTGCAGGAGGCAGGCAGGTACTGCTGAGTCTTACAAGTATATGCATTTTTTTCTGCATTTCTACAGATGATATTTGTCATTTGGTGATGAGGGACAGGTGTGGGAATTGGGCATTTGGTAGGGCCTGAAATAACTGAGTTGCCATGCACATAATTCAAAGTCTGTGAAAACAGTCTGCTTGCTGAGCAAAAGCCTTCACAATCATCTGGACCACAGCTTGTAGGAAGGAAGGTACAGGCCACAGAGGAGAGTGTTTGGGCATATATATGACTGAGGCTTCATAGGACTTGGGCCAAAATAAAATCTTCAGTTCTCCTGGAGACCCACTATATGCACAAAAAAGGGGCTTTTGCGCACCATCTGCAGAGTCCAAACATGCCCAGCTGGTATACAGGGCACTAAGAGCATGACTGTACATGGTAAGCAGATAAGCAATCAGTACTGGAAAGACAGAGATATCTCACAAAGAAGTTTAACTAATGTACAGCAAAAGGCATCATTGTGTAGGGTACACAAATTTTCCCAGAAAGGAAAGGACCTTACCCATACACCTTGACAGGCTTCTACATCAGTAATTGGTGCTGGTACCCCAACCAGATGCCCATAAGCCTTTGG